TGAAACTACCTTTTCGGCTGCTATGCCATGTTATATATTAAAAAGATAGTTCGACTTCACGAGGTTCCGATTTCTATCATATTGGATAGAGGTGCCAAGTTTACAGCTAATTTCTAGAGGTCATTCAAAAAAGGATTGGGTACAAAGATCAACCTTAGAACAACCTTCTATCCACAAACGAAAGGCCAGGCCGAGTGCACTATTCAAACACTCAAGGATATGTTGCGAGCCTACGTTTTATACTTCAAAGGAAATTGGGAGGATCGTCTACCACTCATCAAATTTTCTTACAACAACAACTATCATGCTAGCATTCAGATGGCACCATTTGAGGCCCTATACAGACCAAAGTGCAAATATCCTATCGGCTGGTTCGAAGTTGGTGAAACAAAGTTATTAGGTCCTGATTTGGGGCAACAAGCTGTAGAAAAGGTGAAAACAATTTGAAGTCAATTATCGACAGGCCAGAGTAGGCAGAAATCTTACTCGGATAACTGACAGCGAGATTTGGAGTTCGCTGTGGGAGACTAGGTATTTTGAAGGTGTCGCCTATGAAACGCATGATGAGGTTTGGTAAGAAAGGCAAACTTAGCTCCCGGTATATTGGACCATACCAAATTATTCAGAGAGTTGGTCAAGTGTCTTATAAGCTTGAAAATCCCTCAGAACTGGAGGTAGTGCATCCGGTATTCCATATGTCTATGCTTCGAAAGTGCTTGAGTGATCCATCACGTGTTACCCTTATTGAAGATATTCAAGCCACAAAGGACCTAACTTATGAAGAAATTTCAGTGGCCATCTTAGAACGTCAAATGCGCAAGCTGCAAATTAAAGAAGTAGCTTCTGTTAATGTACTTTGGAGGAACAGCATAGTAGAAGAAATGACATGGGATGCTAAAATATGAAATTCAGGTACCCCAATTTGGTCCATGATATGGGAGGAAACAATGAGGCCACCATGGCGGGAATAACTCTAGAAGACCAAAGAGGTTTTGCAAGGAATGGCTATGATTCAATATTCAAGGATGAACATTCCAAAGAGGGGGATGATGTTACACCTAACACCTAAAAAAAGCTTGACAAGTGTGGCTTCTAGAGCAGGCAATCAGCTGGAGACACATTTGAGGGTAGAAGATGGCAACACGTTTCATTAGACTTGCGCCAAGTGTCACCAGGTGTAGGAATCGGGGGGGGGGGGGGGCAACTTGTTTTGCATGTAGCAGCTGCGGAGTTTCCAAGATTTAATGTGATACAAAAATGCAATGCAACACTCTTTCTCTTTCATATTTTAGTAAGGCATCACATGGGTTAGTTCTCCCAAGTGCTTTCAACACCCCTTTAGACTTTCCAAATAACTTAAGGTAAAGTTGAAGGCGAATCTGAATCTAGAAAGATCTAGTGTGAAGGAGCTGGGAATCATCACTGAAATATTTATTATCTTGTTGTATCGATTTTGAAAAGTTCGCTGGAGGCAGGTTTAACCGTCCTAGAGGTGTAGCTATTTCTTCAACAAGGTACGTGGGACAACTTTCTTTCTTGGCATGAATTGGTGTAAGTCTCTCTTTCTCTCCCTCTAAAGGTTTTCTATATTGTTAGAATTTTGTTGATTCGAGTCCCTCTCAATGACATTTTTATGTTCTTGTACATTCTTGTCGGTAGCATTTCTCTCATAATCTACTGTGTTCCCATTTAATATTTGTGGTTGGAGAGTATGATTCTTTCTGAGGTTAGACTTTTTATCCCTTGAAACTGCTACTGCATTACATTTATGTATATGTATCTATTTTACCTTACTGAGTTGTACTATAGTCAGTTGGGTACGACACTTATTATGCAACCACTGATCAGTTCGGTTTTAAGAGAAACGATATAAGATATTACCGAGCCCTTGTGTGGACGAGTACGATGATGTGTGATATAAGTTTACTGAATCCTCTTCAGTCCGGTTACGCCAAGTTCAGCTGAGACCTGGTACCGCCGAGATCTCCTAAGCTCGGGTACGATGCAGTCCTCTACGAGGCAAAGTATAGAGTGATATGTGATGTGAGGTTACCGAGCTCTTATGTGGCCGGGTATGATCGAGTCATCTATGAGGCCGGGTATGGAGTGATGAAATGTGCTCCAAAGAGTGGCCGAAGATAAGTATACATATTGTTAAATATAATTTTTAATGATGCAAAATAACATATTACTACTGTGCAGGATCACGAGGGATAAAATGAAGGACTCAAGAAGCTCTACCATTCAAATATGGAAGAAGTTAAGAAGGAAGAAGTAAAAGAATTAAGGAAAAGATCTGTCAACGAAAGCAAGTAACGACGGATATTGATTGAAGCGATAATGATTGAAGAATCACTCTAGAAGCAAAGGAAATGAAAATCATCGAAGATTAGAGACGAAAAAGGAAGAAATTGCGAAATTCTTAAAGAAGAATCAATCAAGGATTTGATAGCATATTGATAGAGGATATTATAGGAAGGTCCCAAATTAAAGGAAAACAAGATTGCAAATCTATGCACTGGATATTCCTCCATGAAAGGAAGATCCTTAAAGCATGGAATCAAGGGATCCAACTTGAATAGCTCGAATAACAGAAAGATTTGCTTAGCAGAAGAAAAAACTATCAAGGCCACAAGTCAAGGCAAATCAACGGATGCTCCACCTTATTCTTGGAAAGAATCACTCTACGATTCCATTCAGGGATCAACTCCCTTGGGTCTGTATTCTCTCAAGATTCACATCAATCGAGAGTCAAGAAGACCTCACGAAGTATATATACATCTGCACAGTGTTGAAGTAGATATAATTTGAAAGAACCACTATCACTCTTTTTGTTCTACTCCAAACAAGCATTATAGTTCTCTTTAGATCTGCTGTGTAATTAGTAAGAGAAGAAAAAAAGATAAACACTGGTGATGCAATGTATCAAGAAGAGATAAGTGACATAGTGATTATGTTGTTGGTGTAAAGCTACAATAACTCTCCTGTAATAGGGAAACTTCAAATACTGAAAGAGAACACTCTGTCAACCCAAGGGGACCGGACGTAGGATTCACATTGAATCCGTACCAGTATAAAAATCTTGGTGTCTTTAATTCCTGCACTTAATTTCTACTTTACTTATATTCTATTTTTATCTTCACTCGACTAATTGGTAAACTAGTAAACTACTTAGAATACAAAAAGAAAAATCGACAATTCTCCCCTCTTGTACTTTTAATTGGTATCATAGCCAGGTTTCACACTTTTTTCTTTTGCTTAATAGCTAGTGAGAAAAGATCATGTTAAACCAAGTAACAATTGGGCACTCTTTCAAGAAGGGACATCGCAAGTAAGGCCACCATACTTCAATGGACAATATTTCTCCCACTGGAAAATAGGAATGGAAATTTATGCAAAATCCTATGATGTCAAAGTATGGCGTGTCATCAAAAAGGGGAACTATCCACTGCCAACAGCAACTCAACCACCTGTTGATCCTAAAGATATAGATGAATAAACAAACGAGCAAATGGCTATCTGTCAAGTTAATGCAAAGGCACAAAACTTGCTCAATAAAGCTATAAGTGGAGAAGAGCATGAGAAAATTTCAAGTTATGATACCGCCAAAGAAATGTGGTACAAACTGGAAGTAACCTATGAAAGAACCAGTAAAGTAAAAGAAACTTGGATAAATACGTTGGTTCATGATTATGAACTATTCCAGACGGAAGAAGGAGAATCCATTGAGGAAATGTTTGCAAGATTTAGCAAAATCATTGGCGATCTGAAAGCCTTTGGTAAACCCTACTCAAGTGGTGATCAAGTTCGAAAAATCCTGAGGAGTTTGCCTATCATATGGCAGACAAAAGTAGATTCACTCAAATATCAAGATCTAAACAAACTTTAATATGATGAACTACGTGTAGATCTTATAGAATTTGAGAAAACCCATCTCAAGCAAACAAATCAGGATGAAAAGAAGAAAATAGTTGCTTTCAAAACTACAACTGAAGTACCTGAAGATGATACTGATGACAATCCAGAAGCTCTTGAAGAAGAAATTACCATGGTTTCAAGAAACATGAATGGATGGATGAGAAGATATAGAAATACAAAAAAGGGAAGGATGTCATCCAGATTAACTAGGCAATACAATGAAAAAGACAAAAATAATGGGAAATATTTTGAATCGAAGGTATGGCCATGTCAAGCTAAATGCGCTAAACTTAAAACAAAAGCCTCTAGAGGATTCAAATAAACAAATCCTTCGAAAGCTGGAGTGATAAGGACAACTCAGAACATGAGGAGATAGCAAACCTATGCTTCATGACTATTTTAGGAAATGATATGAACAAATATTCTAGCTGCTGGATTGATGAAGACACATAAGATGATGAAAGTAGAGAAGACACTAAAAACTGTTTCATGGAATGAGGTGAAACAAGCAAGGTAAGATCTTATGACTGTGATAGATACTATAAATTGTAGGATATTCTTGATCTTACCCTAAAGGAGTCTCAAAAGATGTTGAATGAATTGAAAAGACTCAATAGGGAAAACAAGGACTAGGAACTTAAACTTGAAGTATGTGAAATCGGAAGAGATGTGCTTCAAGATGAGGTTCAGGAATTGCAAATGCAACTGAATGACATGGGTAAATCCACCAGTCACAGTCTGTCAAGTCTAACCAGGCGACTTACAAGTCAACTAAAAAAGGACCGGCTAGAACTGAGTCCACAAGTACTAACACAAGTGGTAGATCAAAAATTGGATCAACCACTGTGTGTAATTACTTTAACAAAGTTGGACGTAAACATGCCTTTGTAGATTTCATAAGTCTAATGTTTCGGGATGGATTTGGAAACCCAAAAACAATCCTGATTCCAGTAGAACTAACCAGCAAGGACCCAAGCAAGCTTGGGTACCTAAAAGAAGGTGGTAATTCTATTTTGTAGGAACACCACAAAAAGAGTCACAAAAGAAAATGGTATTTAGACAGTGCATGATCCAGTCACATGATGGGTAACAAAAATCTGTTCAAAAAAGTAACAAAAATAAGTGGAGGAAGTGTCAAATTTGGTGATGATTCAAAAGAAAAATTAGTTGGCACCGGCACAGTTCGATTCAACAACAATTGTGATATTACAGAAGCATACATTGTAAATGGACTCAACTATAATCTCCTGAGTATAAGTCAGCTATGTGATTCAGGGTACGAAGTCAAATTTAAGAAAACAGGATGTGCCGTTGAAGATGGTTCAAGTAAAACAATACTTCTAGGGAAAAGGTATGGAAATGTTTATATCCTTGATGGCATTGAAAGTTTAGATAGTCATATCTGTTTAGCATCAATATCTGATGATCCATGGTTGTGGCATATGAAACTTGGTCATGCAAGCATGCACCTAATTGAGAAACTCTCCAAGCATGATTTAGTTATTGGCCTTCCCAAACTCTATTTTTTTAGAAATCATGTCTTTGATGCATGTCAGATTGGTAAACAAACTAGAAACTCTTTCAAAAACAAAGACATCGTGTCTGCAACCAAGCCTTTACAATTGTTTCATATGGACTTATTTGGACCCACTAGAACTGCTAGCATTGGAGGTAAATGATATGCTTTTGTTATTGCTGATGACTTCTTACATTTTACATGGGTGATTTTCTTATCTAAAAAAGATGAAGCTTTGAAATTTTTTGAGAATTTCTGTAAAAGAGTGGAAAGAGAAAAATGGTATCTCATCACAACCATCCAAGGTGACCATGTAGGAGAATTCAAAAGCAGAGCCTTTGAGGATTTCTACAATAATAAAGGATATACACACAATTTCTCAGCACCAAGATCAACTCAACAAAATGGAGTAGTTGAGCAGAATAATCGAACCCTACAAGATATGGCCAGAATAATGATATTACAACATTCTTTGCCAAATCACTTTTGGGCAGAAGCAGTAAGCACATCTTGTCACATTCTCAATAGATGTCATATAAGACCCATCTTGAAGAAAACTCCATATGAATTATGGAAAGGCAAACGGCCCAATATAGGCTACTTTCATCCATTTGGCAGTAAGTGCTTCATCCATAATAATGGTAAGGACAACATCGGAAAATTTGATCCAAGGAGTGACGAAGGTATAATAAATGTACCTTATCTATAGAAGAATTAACACATATCATATTTTAACACCACGGTCGAGAAAGGAATTATTTCACGTGATGAAGATATTAGCCAATTAACATCACACACAAGCAAGTCACAAAAGTCGACTGATAGCACAGACGCAGTCACAGAGTCGACTAGTGAACCTGCCAATAATCAAGCTGAACCACAGAAGGTGTAAACTACACCTACAATTGGAACACGTCCAAATGAGTGGAGAAGTGATGCAGAATATCCTCAAAAGTTTATTATAGGAGATCCGAGTGAAGGAATAAAAACTAGGGTAGCTCATACGAAACTGGTAAAATGTAGCAATCATCTCTCAAATCGAACCAAAGAAAGTTGAGGAAGCCTTAAAAGACTCCGGCAGGGTACAAGCCATGCAGGAGGAACTCGATAAATTTGATAAAAATCAAGTCTGGGAACTGTTACCTAAGCCTGCAAATACTACCATAGTTGGAACCAAATGGGTTTTCAGAAATAAGTTGAACGAAGACAGAAAAGTAGTGTGAAACAAAGCCAGATTAGTAGGTCAAGGCTACTCATAGCAGGAAGGAGTCGACTATGATGAAACCTTTGCTCCGGTAGCACGATTAGAGTCTACACGGATTCATCTTGCATATGCATATTTTAAAGGTTTTAGACTTTTTCAGATGGATGTCAAAAGTGCCTTCTTAAATTGCTTTATTGATGAGGAGGTGTATGTAAAATAACCTCTTTGTTTTGAAGATTTACAATATCCTTACTATGTGTATGATTTGACTAAAGCTGTGTATGAACTCAAACAAGCTCCTCGAGCCTGGTATGAAAGTCTTAGCTCATTTTTACTTGATCATGGTTTTACAAGAGATAAAGTAGATACTACATTGTTTATCAAAAGATCATCAGGAGGTAATCTCCTTATCCAAGTCTATCTTGATGATATTATTTTCTGAAGTGCTAACCCTCTTTTATGCAAGGAATTTGCTAATCTCATGCAAAGTGAGTTTGAAATGAGCATGATGGGAGAACTCACGTTTTTCCTTGGAACAAAATTCAACAATCCGAGGAATGAACTTTTATATGTCAGACCAAATACGCAAAGGAATCGATTCAAAAGTTCATCATGAACAATGCTAAAGCAATTGGTACATCAATTAGCCCATCAACAAGTCTTGACAAATACAAAAAGGGAAATCTGGTGGATGAAATGAAATATCGTGGAATGATTGGCTCCTTACTTTATCTAACTACCGGTCGACCAGATATTATGTTCAGTGTGAGTAAATGTGCTAGGTTTTAGTCAGCTCCTAAGGAATCACATCTGACAGTAGTAAATAGAAAAATATGTAATCTCATCGGAATCGTTTCATATGGACTATGGTACTCACGGTCTAACAAATTAAAACTTGAAGGTTTTTCAGATGTTGATCTTGCAGGTGGTAAGGAAGATAGGAAAAGAACCGGAGGAACATGTCAATTATTGCGAAAGGCATTAATATCCTGGAACAGTAAGAAACAAGGCCTAGTTGCATTATCCACAATAGAGGCAGAGTATACTGCCATCGGACAGTGTTGTGCTCAATTACTGTGGATGTTTCATCAACTAGGTGACTATGAATTATCTTTTAAGTCTATTCAAATATTATGTGATAATTCTAGTGCTATATGCCTCTCAAAGAATACCGTGCATCATTATAGGGCTAAGCACATATATATTAAGCATCATTTCATCAGAGATCATGTCACTAAGGGAAATATAGAATTATCATTTGTTAGCACTATTGATCAACTAGCAGACATTCTTAGTAAGCCCTTGCTTGAAGATAGATTCTGCTCTTTAAGAGAACTACTAGGCATTATTTCTCTTGATCATAGAAATTAGGACTTAAGTGTTAATTCTAATTCCTGTGTGACTAAAGTTTTTAGTTTTCTTTCTTTTTTGAGTACACATTAATTGAGCGCCTCCGATTTCCCTCTCTTTTCCCATCAGTCACAACTTTCAAGAAAGGAAAATCAATTAACATGTCCTTTCACTAATGCCCTTTCCTTTCCTATGCCGTCAAATCCATTCTTTTTAACCCTCTGAATCACCTTTCCTCTTCTTCATTATTTTTGTCGCTCAGAAACCCTTCTCCAAGAACCCTTCAATGGAAAAACACTCCAAAAATCCCTTTGCCTCCACCAAAAAAAAGTACTCGCTCCAAGGCAAAACCCTCCTCTCAGCGTCCAGAACAAGTAGACCTAGGGTCCGACCACTTTGAAGGGATTGCCTCTTCTCAGGAAGAGACATCTTACCACACTCACTGAATAGGTGAAAAAGCTCTTTGAAAAAGACCATTGGAAGACACCCCTGAATCTTTTACCCCCAAGAAATCCAAGGTAGACCTCTCGAGTTCACTAGAGTCAGACCTCAGTTTCTGGGACACTCCAAATAGAGACTTCTTCGTTGCCCTCAAAGAAAAGCCCAATGCCCATGGCAGAGTAATCGATCTTGACGACATGGAGGCCCTCAATTGTAAGGTAAAGGATCTCTTCATTTTTCCGGGATGGTCAAATTTCCTCTCTTTACCCTCTCCTAAAGTCTACGAACCTCTAGTGAGGATGTTCTATGCCAATCTCCGCTCTAGCAAGCCCGATAAGTTAGAATCCCTAGTTCTAGGAAAATGCATTGTTCTTGATTGTGCCATGTTTGACTCAATTTTTTAGTGTAAGTGCTCTAGTTTTCCCATGCTTTTCAAAAATTCCTGGCCTGAAGACTTTGAAATTACTTTTGATCAAGCCAAACACTGTATAGCTGAGTGTTCCTCTGATTTCCTCCCTAACCATTTAGGTCCCAGTGATGTTAGTTTTGAAACCCGAGTTCTGGCCTATATTGTTTCAAATACTCTTCTTCCTCGCACTAGCTCATTCTCCACTTTATCTCAATGAGACACCTTTCTTGTCTACTGTCCACTAACCAAGCTTAAGGTCAAAATATCCTCATAGGTCATCAATTTTATAGTTGAAAGTGTTAATGACCCCACCTGTCTACCATATGGTATGGTTATCACCCATCTTTTGGAATTCCACAACATCTCTATCTCAGAATATCCTTTTGTCTCTATCACAAAATCCTACAACTCTAGAGCCTTTGCCAGTATGGCGTATGTGTGTGATAAGGGTCCCTGGGTGGAGAAACAGGAGGGAGAAATCAAGAATGTTCAGCCTGATTCAAAGGTCAAAGCCGCTGGTTCCTAACATAGTTTAAGTGATCCTGATCTTGTAGAAAAAATGAACACTATTGACAACAAGCTGACCATCATCAAGGACCTTCTTGCTGCAACTCAATCAACTGTTGGGGACATTCATGCCATCTCCAAACAGGGTCCGATATTTCGAAGATAAGGGTCAAAATTCTCAAGTTAGCAGAAAATGTAGTCAAAGCCTTCAAGGAAGTACATGACATGATTGATGGGGCGACAGTTTCAGCAAATTCCAACTTTGATCGTCTGAAGGAGGCGATTTGCAATACTCTCACTTATTTCTTGCATCGTTAATTGTGGATGTTTCAGACAATGCCTTTTTACCATTTTAGACTGGACAACCAGTCGTTGGATGTTCTTTTTTGTTATTTTTGCTAATTATGCATTCCTATAATTGCCTATATTTGCCTAAATTGCTCGCCTCTGTCTACTTTATTTTATACATACGTATATCCCCTCCTTACCGGTGCCAAAAAGGGGGAGAAAAGGTTAATTATAGTGCAGGTCAAATAGTAGCACTTGTTGAGGGGGAGTCAACTGCAGCAAGGTTAATTATAGTGCAGGTCAAATAGCAGCACTTGTTGAGGGGGAGTCGATTGCCACATCATGGAAGTCAACATAGAAGTCGACTACAGCAAAACAAGCACCAACTATAACAGGGAAGTAAACTGCTTTTATATGTTATTTTTTGGATGCGGCCAAAATAGAAAAGGCCGATTTCACGATCAACGAGACATTGCGCAATGTCACCTCGAGAGACCGAGGGAATAGCTCGGGGTTCGAAGTCTTCGAGGAATCTTCGTGCCCGATATCGGGGTAGAAGGAACCGGAGGTTATCACAAGTGAGCGTGAAGTTCCCTAGGAGCAGTACTTTTTCTGCAACGCCTGCGCGGACAGTGACAACATGCGCCAGGCTGATTGAGTGATCGTATCGTTTACTTATGTAATAAATGCACTTGTATCATATTAGGGTTCCCCTCATCTATAAAAGGGTTCCTTACCATTTTTGTAAAAGACACCAGAAACAACACAAGATACTTCCTTCAATACAAGAACATTCTTTCTGCTCTCTAACTCAAACATACTCTCTATTTGGCTCTGTTGCTTACATTGCTTTATTTACATTTAATGTATATCATTAATCGTTCTTCATTTATTGCTCGTTATTGGTCATAAAGAGCCCCAATCATAGCCCTAATAGTTGTTAATCCTCCATCGATCGCCCTTAGCCGGGCATCTAACTTGGCATCGAGGCCCCGCACGCGCTAGCTCGAGGCCCCGATTCTCAACCGTTTGGTTTGGTTTCTAAAGCCATCTTCAATCTCTTATCTTATTTTCTAACCTCATCACTTAGCATCTACTGCTTAACAACTAGCATAAAAATAGATCACATATTTTTAGAACCACAAAATCAAATCTAATTGTTATTACCATTTTCGAGGTAAACAGTTTGGCGCCCATCGTGGGGCTAAAAATAATAATGATTGTTTCTTGCTGGTTTACTACATAACTCAAGTATCTTTCACGCTTTTTTCTTGTCCAAGATCTTTGATTTTAGGTCAAAATGCCTAACTCAGTAAACGCACGTAAGAACAGCAGCCTTGAAAACCATAGAGAAAGCGGTGTAGCTATTCCAGGTGTTGGTATGCAACCACAAAACCCTGAGGTCACACCAGAGCCGACTCTCGGTGATATGGTCTCATGCAACGCTCAACGCGTTGGCGTAAGTTCCCACACCAACAGGAGTGTACGCCGAGAAAACAACCCCACCCGGGAAGAAAGAAAGGCAAACAGGGAGAGTGAAGCGGAAGAACCTCAGCACGTCATCCATATGATTATAGGAGGGACCGACGTTCCCCAGGGACCCGCGGGCAAGCGGATAAAGGTTTCCGTGGCAACACAAGTACAAACTCGGGGTCATGTACCTGAGGACATCCTCGCGTTCAGCAAGGAAGAAATTGAGACTCTATCTCATCCACATAACAATGCGCTGGTAATCTCGTTTCTCTTAAATGACATTCAAATGAAATGTGTACTCGTGGATCTAGGTAGCTCGGCCAATATAATTAGATCGACGGTGGTAGAACAGCTCGGATTACTCGACCGCATCATACCTACCTCCCGAATCCTCAACGGCTTCAATATGGCCGGTGAAGCAACAAAAGGAGAGATCACCCTCCTGGTAAACATATCCGATGCAGTTCAAGATACTAGATTCCACGTCATTAAAGGTGACACAAGGTACAATGCCTTGCTCGGTAGGCCGTGGATACATAACATGAAGGCGG